GACAGCATCACCTTTTTTTTTTAAAAAAAATGATATTGGCTTTCACAATGCTTTGAGCCGGTTTATCTTTCTTCAACCCATTTTTCATCCCCAGTAATGATGCGCAACAAAAATGGATCATTTTCGTGACGTTTGAGAAACGAATCATAGTTGTCAACGCGATGACATCAATTTCTCTCCTTGAGAACCCATAAATCGAGCTTCAACCCAGGCTTTTCAAGTGGTCATAAACAGTTGTATTCGATAAATATAACCTCTCGCCAATCTCACGTGTTGTTATTCGCCGATTTGCATCAACCAATGTCTTTATCAGCTTCAACCGATCTTCCAGAACGTGGTACATCTTCGACATCAAAAGTGCCGGATCGAAATTTTGCAAACCAGTTCTGGCCAGTGCCGGATCAAGCGAACGCGGGGCCCTAGGCCATTCAGATTTTTGGGGCCCTTAGAATAAATTTTTTTTCTCATATATTTTTTATTTATTCAAATATAAAAGTATTTATATATCTTTTCATTTAAGAAAGCATAATTAAAATAAATAATAAATTAAATTTTACTTTCTTTTGTTAAATTAGAACTAATAAATAATCATAACATATATATATTTGGAAATGATTTTTTTTGAAAAAAATCACTGTTTTCCTTAATTTCTTAAAATTTATTTTCAAAAAATCCATTTCAAGGGGGCCCCAGGCCATGTCTAGTCTAGTCTGGCCTAATGAGTATTCCAGCACTGGTTATGGCACTGGCGTACAGTACAACACATTTTCTCCATACACATTGGTTAATTTCTTTCTAGCATGAACAGTATTTTTACTTTTTCTACAGTAAAATATGACAAAAATGCTGCTTATTGCTCTCCATATTTAAAAGGGCTTAAACCAAATACTACTGTGTAGAATAAATTGAACTTTTTCACACACAAGCCTGGCTATGTACGCTCTCAAAACATATAATGATAATGCGGCTTAAGTTTGAAGATGTGTTCGAAAAAAATACAATTAAATCGTCTGTCGGAAAAACAAAATTTCTTTCCGAACAACCTGATAAAGTAACTTTTTTCTCAATTAGTTACATTTTCATTACAAATATTAATACCAAAAGTAATTATAAATATTAATTTGGGTTTTTTACCACATGTCTTTTTTTTTTTTAAAGAAAAATAAGCATTCAGTAATATAATTACAAGAGCTACTTTTATAAAAATAACTCTACAACAAGCGTTAGAAAAGATTTATTAAATAAAAGATGTTACAAATAATTCTAACTAAAAGTGACTAGAAGTCTTTTTTTTTTCATTTAAAAAATCATATTATCTTTTGAAAAATTAAATACTCTTTTTTTTTAAAATATGTTACAAAAATGAAGTTTTTCACAAGTATGAATAAAACTGCAATAAATTAAGATGGACCTTAAGTGAAAAAAAAGAAGAAAACTTTGAACATAAACAAGAATATGGCTTTTAAATAGCAATAACATGACTGTGACTAGTTAGATAATTCTTTCTTGAAAAAGCTTTATTCGATATACTACACGAGCAAGGTTTCACACCAATATGAAGACGATTATGCTGAGTCAAACTACCTCTTAATGAAAAACTCTTGTTACATATATTACAAGAATAAGGTTTCTCACCAGTTGGAGCACAATTCTGTTTTGTCAGAGAAAACTTTCGTGAAAAACTCTTACAAAATATAATACAAGAATAAGGCTTCCCACCAGTATGGACACGACTGTTTTCTCAAACTACCTTTTAGTGAAAAAATTTAATTAAATATACAACAAGAATAACGTTTCTCCCCAATTTAAACATAGCAATGTTTATTCAGAAACACTCTTTCTGAAAAACTCACATATACTACAAGAATAAGGCTTCTCACCAGTATGAACACGACTGTGTTTTATCAGACATTTTAGAGAAAAAACTGTATTTACATATACAGTTGTGTCCACTTAATCACATAACCCGCTTATACGAATAAAATTAAATGGAACCAAATCATTTTATAAGAAACTAATGTTACATTTCCCCGCTTAAATGGTTATTTGTTGCTTCTAGTCCTCGCTTAATTGTATATAGAAGAGGTACTGAAATGAAAATTTTTAATATATTTGTACGAAAAGTTTCACCAGATAGAAAGAATGGAATTTCAGTTAAGACGATACATCCGGTAATCACTTCAATGGCACTTCCTATTCATTTGCTGCTCTAAACAGGTGTTAATGGTTAAGGCATTAATCAAATGTTACCAGCAGTTGTACATTAGAGTAAACGGACGGGGTTTTGACACTATTCACTTGCACAGCCGGAAGGTATAGAGTGATTTATTTATTTTGCGGGAAAAACTTCTAGTCCTCTTGCGTTATTTGTTTTGATAAGATGTAGATTAAAAAAACCTGCTTTCACACTATACAGGGTTCCCTTTAAATTAAAATAATCATTGCTTACTTCAGTGAATAACTCTTGAGTTGGTTGAATGGTGAGCATGACATTTCGAATGTAATGGAAGGGACTATAATGTACTGTACAACTTGGAAAAAAAAAGTAGATAAATGTTCAATTAAATGTGTATCAAAACAGTCTTCCATTACAGATTTTTTTTAAATAAATTAAAATTATATTATGGTACATATATTATATTTTTCATTAGCATTAATTTATTTATTTCTTAAAATGAGATTAGTATATTTAATGATACTAATATTGATAGTTTTAATTATGATTATTTAATCAAAACATCATACTATGTATTAAATACCACTTAGAAGTAAAATGTTGTTAAAGCATAAGATTTAAGATTAAATAATGCACTACCCTTTTAATCGAATAACCTGCTTAATGGAATAGAGTTGGCTGGAACCAATGGTATTCCTTTAAGTGGGGTTGACTGTACTAAAAGAATAAGGCTTCTCACCAGCATGAATACGACTGTGTTTATTCAGATGCTCACCTTGAGTAAAACTTTTATTACAGATACTGCAAGAATAAGGTTTCTCACCAGTATGAACACGACTGTGTATAGTGACAGAACTTTTTAGTGAAAATTTTTTATTACATATACTACAAGAATAAGGCTTCTCACCAGTATGAACAAGACTGTGTTGATTTAGATGCTGACTTTGAGAAAAACTCTTATTACATATGCTACAAGAATAAGGCTTCTCACCAGTATGAACAAGACTATGTTGATTTAAATGCTGACCTTGAGAAAAACTCTTATTACATATCGTACAAGAATAAGGCTTCTCACCAGTATGAACAATATTGTGTTGATTTAGATGCTGACTTTGAGAAAAACTTTTATTACAGATACTACAAGAATAAGGTTTCTCACCAGTATGAACACGACTGTGTATAGTGAGAGAACGTTTCAGTGAAAAAATTTTATTACATATACTACAAGAATAAGGCTTCTCACCAGTATGAATAAGACTGTGTTTATTCAGATTACTTTTTAGTGAAAAACTTTTATTACATATACTACAAGAATAAGGTTTCCCACCAGTATGAACAAGACTGTGTTGATTTAGATGCTGTCTTTGAGAAAAACTCTTATTACATATGCTACAAGAATAAGGCTTCGCACCAGTATGAACAAGACTATGTTGATTTAGATGCTGACTTTGAGAAAAACTCTTATTACATATACTACAAGAATATGGCTTCTCACCAGTATGAACACTACAGTGTTTTATCAGACTACGTTTTAGTGAAAAACTTTTATTACATATAATACAAGAATAAGGCTTCTCACCAGTACGAACAAGACTGTGTTGATTTAGATGCTTACTTTGAGAAAAACTTTTATTACATATACTACAAGAATATGGCTTCTCACCAGTATGAACACGACTGTGTGTAGTGAGATTACTTTTGCGTGAAAATTTTTTGTTACATATGCTACAAGAATAAGGCTTCTCACCAGTATGAACAAGACTGTGTTGATTCAGATGCTCATTTTGAAAAAAACTCTTATAACATATACTACAAGAATAAGGCTTCTCACCAGTATGATTGCGACAGTGTTTTTTCAGATTACTTTTTAGTGAAAAACTTTTATTACATATACTACAAGAAAAAGGCTTCTCACCAGTATGAACAAGACTGTGTTTATTCAGATGCTCATTTTGAGTAAAACTCTTATAACATATACTACAAGAATAAGGCTTCTCACCAGTATGAACACGACTGTGTTTTTTCAGATTGCTTTTCAGTGAAAAACTTTTATTACATATACTACAAGAATAAGGTTTTTCACCAATATGAGCACGACTATGTTCAGTCATATTACTTTTTTCTGAAAAACTCTTATTACATATACTACAAGGAGGTTTTTCCCCAGTATGAACACGACTGTGTTTTTTCAGACTACCTTTTTGTGAAAAACCCTTATTATTTATAACTACAAGAATAAGATTTTTCACCAGTATGAATTTTAGTGCTTAGACGGTCTTTTTCCTGAAAAACTCTTGTTAGATTAACAATAAGGTTTACTTACAGGATGATACTTATTCTGAATAAAATTAGGCCCTTAATAACATGATACAAAAAAGAGCATTCCGTATCAAGTTACTTACTTAGATTAAATTTTTAACTAAGTAAAATAGAATAGTGTAGTCACCGTACAGCAGGCATATGATTTATTAATAGATGCATATATCAAAACATTAATTTTAAATTATATTGATATGCAAATATTTTCTATTTTTCACAAACTATTTTCATAATATAATAATTGTTGAACATAATAAACTAAATTATTAACTATTTTATCACAAAAAGAGTGCGGAAATAATGCTCTCCCGTGCTGGGTTTAATTTAATTCGATACACTATGAATGAATGCAGTTGAAGACATTGTTAATTAAATGATATTTGTTACTAGGAGGATATATTATAAAAATGAATATGAACAAACAATGATATTTGTTTTGAACATGAAATATCTAATTTGATTTCAATAGTAATTTATTCACACAGACACTGTAGAAATATAGCTCATTATAAATTAAGGAGAAGAAAAATTCACCATCACAAACTTAAAAGAAATATGAGAAGGTCAAAAAAGTTTAATTCTATTAAATTGCCTGAACTGAATACAGAAAACATTTTCTCAGTGTGAACAGGAAAATCAAAATTTAAATTTCTTGTGTAGAAATATCAAATCATATGTGTTTTATGAAAGTGACAGACATCTTAATTATCTGCAACTGAAATCAGCAATTTTAATCTATTTATAACTGTTTCATAATGCACTGCATGAAAAGCTCGTTTAAAGTGTTACTTAAACCAAATTATTCCTTTTACCTTGATTAATTTTTCACAATGACTGTTTAAATAAATTATTTTCATATTATGAACTCAAAACAATTAAGTTTTTGTACACTTTTTAGAATGGAAGTAAAATGCTTTACAATAAAGTATAATTATGAACTACACTTGGAAATTTATGAACACACATACTACAAAGATTAAATTTCCATATGTGTAAATATTTTCCACTCAGAACATCATTGCAACTATGACACACGTTGCACAGATAGTATTTGCTGTAAGTATCACAACATAGAATGTTACTGGGAACATAGAATGAGATTGCCTTTAATATTGTTGCCTTTTGCCAAAAAGAAATGACACACACTTAATGAATAGTTTATTGATGATATAAATCATACAGAAAACACTGTCCTTTTTTCTTTTAAAAAAAATGCACGCAAAATATGAATTTTATTTACTGTCAGCAAGAACATATTGTATCATTCACATCTATTTTTCTCTGCATAAAGATAATATATGAGTTAGTATATATAGTATTTGCTGTTAGTATCACAACATAGAATGTTACTGCCAACATAGAATGAGATTGCCTTTAATAATGTTTCCTTTTGCCAGGAAGAATACACTTAATGAATAGTTTGATTATATGAATCGTGCAGAAAACACTATCTTTTTCTTAAAAAAAAAAAGATTTATGCACGCACAATATGAATTTTATTTACTGTCAGGAAGAAGGTATTTTATCATTCACATCGATTTTTTTCCGTATTATGAAGATAATATTTGATCTGTGTGGAAATAACCTTTTAAAAGCGCTTTCTATATTGTTTCCATTACTAGGATGATAGTTCACTTTACATTTGTAAGATTATGGATACCCAGGCTTATAAATTTAAGTCAAGTAGGGACAAATCAAAAATAATTTTTTGAAAGCTTTTCTTTACAAAAATATGGTTAATTAAAGTCGTCTTCGGTATTAGTAAGAAAGTATGTTATAATATAGTTTATCATTCCTCTGTGTGTTTATCTTATCAGCAAATAATGATTGATTGATTGATTGAAGAAGGTAACAACGATTTCTAGGTTTTAGCGTATAGCTTTGTATTTTCATTAATATAATTTAGGGTTGAGGCTTGATTGATAGCTAGAGTTTGCAGCAAAAAGTCAGAAGCGGTTTGCTGCTTGTAAGAATTTGTAATTGGCGACTGTCTGGGGAGCATCCCTGAGGATGATCCGAAGACATAATATCACAATTTCGATTCTTTTTGCCGAGGGGATGGCTGTGCCGATACCTCCGCAATACGGGCAGTTTGGGTTTTGTATCAATTTACAATTGCGTAGGATAGCATTTGTTGGAAGAGATTTAGTTCTGAGCCTGACAATTAGGACATCGAAATTTCGGGAACTGATGAGTGAACGGTAATCTTGAGATCAATCAAGGTGGGAAAAGGAAAGGAAGTATTTGCAACCTTTCCATACACAGAGTTCTTTATTAAGCAGTACATGAAGGAAGGCTTGGCTGTGGTCTTGAGGGGATGAAAGATACCTTATGAAGTTTTGGTTTAGCGCTTGTTCTGCAAGTTGGTCTGCGTGTTCGCTTTCTTTTATTCCTGTACAAGCTGCAACCCAAGAAGACGAGGTAGATTCTCGGAAATTTCCGGGTGCCTTTTTTGCGAGACAGAAGGATCAAACGGCTTTCCGTTAGACAGATATAGTGGCCATTGCTTGTAGCGCAATGTTTGAGGGCTAAGAGTATGACCAATCCTTCGGTTATGAAGATCAATGTGTGAGTAGGAAGACGACTTGAGATCGTGTACCCTTTGGAGGAATAAATTCCTACACCAATTTTGTCTGATTGTTTGGATCCATCTGTTGCCAGATTAATACCGTTTAATTCTTAAGACGTTCCGGTGGCGAAACTTTTCAAACAGTGCTCGAACCTGTAGCGGGAATAGATTTTTGGTTTGGAATGGTAATTTGTCAAGATAAATTGAAACTTTTGAAGAGGTTTGGGTTGGGGGGTGATATTTAATAACATCATCTAGCTTCGTGGTCATGGTCATCCATCTATGCATAGAAGGTGTAAGTGATGTTGTTATTGCCTTGTGGAAAGCATGATGGAGGGAGATGTAGGTGATAGTGAGTGGGTGAGGATGATTGGAGGGAAATGTGTCGGAAGTAGAATTTTGCCGATTGTCACTTATGTCGTGAAGCTAGGGAACTCACTCCCGCTTCCTTGAGTAGGAGTGGGATAGGTGTCCATCGACGCAGACCAGTTGCCGCTTGAACTGAGGCATCATATAAAACGTCCAAGGTTCGGAGACCGGTTTGGCTGGGAGAAGGAAATGATGTAACTTCCAAAGTCAAGGACACTCCTGATGCAAGAGGTGACTATCCTGCGCAGGTGATCTGACTGTGCACAACAATGTGTGCTAGAGATGCAATGAAACACAGAGAGTTTTCAAATAATTTTTTGTTTTAACATTTTGAAGTGATAGTGTAAGATCATGTTGCTAGAGAAATGTAGGCCGATTATTCGAAGGTTTTGGACCCAAGGAATGTGTTTGTTGAATCTAAAATTATCTGCTATCCGTCTTCTAGAGAAGTTGATGGTGGCACTTTTTTCTGGAAGAATTTGTTGTGATAAAATCAAAAGAGTAATCTTAATCGTTTTAAAGGTTTGTGGTTCTCTTGTTGGCAACACCAACCAACTAAGTGCTGTTATGCATTCTTCTCTCTGCTGTGTGCAGTTGTTATATGTTCATGTCCTTTTAATTAAATAGTAACCAAGTATTTCTTTAGCTGTGTGATATTTTATTTTATACTTAGTAGTACACTTAATTTTCACAGGTTATGGGCCCAGCGATTAATCTGTTACTATAGTATAAGCTATTCTTTGTGAACTGATATCGGTCTTAAGCCTAACTGAGTGATAAGCGTTGACTGTATTTTGTTGAGCTTTGATTATGGAGTTTAAAACTCATATAGAAAAATTAAAAGGTTCAGTGAACTGGTCTAAGTGGAAACGACAAATTGAATTGTTATTACGTCATAATGAAGTGTTGGACATCGTAAATGGAAGTAGGAAATTAACTGAAAATCTAAGTGAAAGTGCCACAAGTGAGGAAAGAACTGCATATGAAAAGCAAGTAAGAAGTTTTTCCAAAGATGATGCTTTGGCACAGTTAATTTTAGTTGGTAATATGGATGATAGCAATGTAGAATTAACTTCTACATGTGACAGTTCTAATGCTACGTGGGAGAAACTGCTATCTGTTTATGAACAGAGTTCAGGTCAAAGACTTGATAGGTTAATGGAAAGCTTTTTTGCAGTATGTGAAAAAGATATGGATGAGGACATCGCAACCCACATTGCTAAACTGCAAAGAAATTTTTCGGAGCTTAATGATGAGCTAAATCGAGTCGCCAAAACTATTTTGCCTGACCTGTTATTAATGAGCAGAATTCTATCAACACTTCTGCAGGAATACTTCGAGTTTAAGAGTGTTTGGGAGTCAGTTCCCATTGAAGAACGGAATGTAATTAAACTAACTGAAAGGTTACGCCTAATAGAGATGAGGTTACCCGCCAAACAGACAAGTTCTTCAACAGCCTTAGTGGTTTCAAAAATGAAATTTGAAAGAAAATGCTATGTTTGTAGAAAAGTTGGACATTTTGCAAAAGATTGCTACAGAAATAAAAATAAAGTTGATGGTGATGCCTTCATGTGCTTTGGTGAAAGTAACACAAACAATGAAGTTTGGTTGGCAGATAGTGGAGCTACTGCTCATATGACAAAATATAAAGTTTATTTTGTGGACTTTAAACAGTTTGATATACCAAAGAAAGTGTACATTGGAAACAATGATGCCATATTCGCCTATGGTGAAGGTACTATCAACGTTGAAATGAAAATCTGTGGTAATTGGGAACGAAATCATTTAGCTTCTGTGTGGTATGTTCCTGATATTTGTAAAAATCTTTTTTCTATTGGACAAACTATAGCCAAGGGTTTTGAGTTTAAAGCAACAAGAACTGAATGCGTGTTTATTCGAAATGGAAATGTGCGATTAAAGGGCGTCTGCACAGCTAATGGCCTATATGCTTTGAAACTGAGAGTCCGAGCACCTAGTGTCTCTGCAAATGTATGCATTGCTGCAAGAAATGACTTGCAATTGTGGCACGAAATGTTGCGTCATCAGAATAAAGCGCATGTTAAAGAGATTCTTAATAGACATGATATTAAAGTTGCATGTAAAAATGAACTGTGTGAAGGATGTTGCTTTGGAAAACAATGCAGGAAGCCATTTGGAACTAGAGAACGCCCAACAAAAGCAGGAGAGTTGATACATGCTGATGTAGTTGGATCCATGCATGAGAAATCTCTTGGTAATTCAAAATATTTTGCGTGTTTTAAAGATGACTTTTCAAAATATCGCAGAGTGTACTTCTTACAAGCTAAAAATGAAGTAACCAAGAGCTTTCAAAATTTCATGAATGAAGCCAAAAATGTAGGGCATAAAATCCAAGAATTTCTGAGTGACGGAGGAACAGAGTTTCAGAATTCTGAAGTGAAGAACATTCTTGAAAGTGAAGGAGTGACCTCTCGTATATCTATGCCTTATACACCGGAGCAGAATGGTGCTGCTGAACGTGAGAATCGTACACTTGTGGAAAGTGCGCGTAGTATGCTACATTCACAGAATCTTCCCTTAAAACTGTGGGCTGAGGCTGTAAACACAGCTGTATATGTTTTAAATAGGACTGGATCTTCATCAGTAAAGTCGAAAAGTCTCTATGAACTATGGTTTGACAAGAAAGTTCCTAGCATCAATCATCTAAAAGTTTTCGGTACAGAATGTTTCGTTCACGTACCCAAGCCAAACAGAAAGAAATGGGATAGTAAGAGTCTCAAAGGTATATTTGTTGATTATTGGGGTGAAAAAGATGGTTATAGAATATATATTAAAGAACAAGACAAAATTATACTAAGTAGAAATGTTATTTTTCAAAATGAAGAGGTAGTCTCAGTTGGTACTACTTATTCTTCTGTTGAGGATACTCAACAATTTGTAGAGGTAAGCAAACTTGAAGAAGATCTTGTTCCTGAAAATATTGAAGGAGTTAGTAACATTATAGATAATGAAAGCATCGCTGAAGAAACAGTTAATAACTCCATTAGTGTAGGCAACATTGAAATCAATATTGATGAAGTTACAGATGAAAACAATGACTCTACTTATCTGAGAGATAGAAATAAATTGAAAAAGCCTTCCAAGTTAAAAGATTTTGTTCTTTTAGCTGAATTAGCTGAGCCAGAAACTTATAAAGAAGCCATGTCTTCTGAGAATTCTGAAAAATGGCTATGTGCCATGGAAGAAGAAATGAATTCGCTTCTGAAGAACAAGACTTGGGAACTTGTTGATCTGCCTCATGAAAGAAAAGCTATTGGTAGTAGGTGGGTTTTTAAATTGAAGATGAATGCAGATGGGTCTGTACAACGTTTCAAGGCTCGTTTAGTAGCTAAAGGATTCAGCCAAAAATATGGTGTTGATTTTTCAAAAACGTTTAGTCCTGTTGCTCGATGGGAAACAATAAGAACAGTTTTAGGAGTTGCTTCAAGTAAGAGACTGAGACTTTCACAATTTGATGTAAAGACTGCATTTCTTTATGGAGAATTAGCAGAAGAGATCTATATGAGTCAACCAGATGGGTTTAATGATGGAACTAATAAAGTTTGTAAGTTGCTCAAAAGTATTTATGGGCTTAAACAAGCCTCAAGGTGTTGGAATGAGCGTTTCAAAATATTTGCTGAAAGCTGTGGTTTGCAACAATCTTCTGCAGATCCTTGTTTGTTTTATAATGAAAGTAAAACACTTATTTTAATTGTCTATGTTGATGATGGTATCATAGCCACCAAAGAAGAAGAGATAGCTAATGAGTTTCTTAACAAACTTAGAGCAGAATTTTGCGTAACTGTTGAAGCTGCTACTCATTATTTGGGTATGCAAATTGAATATTTTCATGATGGTAACGTTTTCATACACCAGGAAACTTATTGTAAAAAAATTCTGAATCGCTTTAATATGTTAGAATCCAATCCAATTAGTGTACCAATAGAAAAGGACTTCATTACAAATGAAGATTCGCCATGTCTTCCAGATAATGTGCCTTACCGTGAAGCTATAGGAAGCTTAATGTTTTTGGCTATGGTCACAAGACCTGATATCTCCAATGTGATAGGTGTCTTGTCACAAGTACTGGAAAAACCGAAGCAACAACACTGGAATTTAGTGAAAAGAACCTTTAAATACCTTAATGGTTCTAAAAAGTGTGGAATAATGTTTAAAGCTGATTTAAAATGTAACATGCAGTGCTTTAGCGACTCAGACTATGCAGGTGATCCCCTTAGTAGAAAGTCTACTTCAGGAATGGTTTTCATTGTTGCTGGTGGTGCTATTGGGTGGAAGAACCAGCGTCAAAAGTGTATTGCCTTATCGACAACAGAGGCAGAGTTTGTGGCTGCCAGTCAAGCAGGAAAAGAAGCTGTGTGGATTTCAAATTTGATGAATGAATTGTGTTCTGTTGATGAAATGCCTATACTTAATGTAGATAACCAAAGTGCGATTAAATTAATTAAGAATAATGTTCTCCATAACCGAACAAAGCATATTGATGTGCGATACAAGTTCATAAGAGAACTTTATGAGAACAATAAACTAGGTGTGTCTCACTGCAGTAGTGATTCACAAGCTGCTGACTTATTTACTAAGGCTCTGCCTAAAATTAAATTTGAATATCTTAAGAAATTGATAGGAATGTTAGACTTGTGTACCTAATTTTTCCTTATTTTTTATAGAGAGAACTTATTCATTTTTTGATTTAGGGGAAGTGTTGTGATAAAATCAAAAGAGTAATCTTAATCGTTTTAAAGGTTTGTGGTTCTCTTGTTGGCAACACCAACCAACTAAGTGCTGTTATGCATTCTTCTCTCTGCTGTGTGCAGTTGTTATATGTTCATGTCCTTTTAATTAAATAGTAACCAAGTATTTCTTTAGCTGTGTGATATTTTATTTTATACTTAGTAGTACACTTAATTTTAACAGAATTTCAAGGCTCCAATCATTACTACACCATTTCTGAATTTGGTGGAGAGAGAATTGCATTTTGCGTATTACTTCGTAACTGGATTCTGAGACTGCAATTAGATCGATATCGTCCCCGAAGATAAGGCGAGACTAAGACGAAGGTCGGACAAGTATA